TACAGGTTTTATGAAGCTCTTCACCAGTGATATCTTCTAAATCATCAGAAGATGAAGAAGCAAGTGAGGTAAAAATGTGTTATAGAAAGATTTCATCCCTAGACACAGCATCGCATTACATATAATCACTCGGCATCCTATCGAAATCTTACAAGGGAAATTTGGTTTTATTCCACTGATTTGTCTAATATGGTAATCTAATGTAAATTGTTGTCAAATATTAAATAAAGTGTCCTTTAACATGCCAAAACAGCCTCTGAGATCCCGGGAAACGATTCAATCATTATTATGTTGACAGTTGTGGCCCAAACCCTAAAGCCGACGATTTTTCGACAAACTAGGTGCTGTCAATCACCTTTTGAAACCATGAAATTAAAAAACGTTACCAACTTGTTTTCTCACTTTGCCCAATATATCCAGCGAGATATCTTTTATCCGCAACCCTGGGATAATACTGAATCTGAATACTTAAAATTGAGAACTGCAGCCCAAAGTTCACCAATTTTTGCGTGATACCTTCCGTTTGCCTTGGAATAAATTTGGTTACTTCACAAGTAACAATCATTCTTTTTTCCGAATGAATGTCTTATTGAGTGTCCCAGTGATGAAACACAAACCGAATGCTTTTGTGACCACTTGTGGTATTATCAGATCAAATTTCAGCAAGTTGACAGACAAATGAAACCAATCTGAAGGAGCCATTTGTGGAAATTATGTATTTTGCCTTTGCTCCAAAGGCTTCATCATGATACAATCACATTGAATAAGTTAACCATTTAAACGGGAAACATGCGAGGACGCAGACCGATAACACAGGTTTATCATTTTTGTTTGTTTTATGAGTACACAGTTCACATAGACCTATTTGATTTACAATTGAATGTCATTACATGAGGTTCAGTTCCAAACAATTATGTTCAGGAAAAAGTAAGTTTAAACTATGTTTTCATTTTTTTCTGGAGAAACGTTTTACTACAGAATAATATCTGAACAATAACTTAAGATCAACTGTTTCAAATAGTCCCAAAGAAATTTGTTACAAAAGAAGTGAAGCACTAGAATAAATGGTTCCATTCAATAGGTCAATTGATGCGTCTGAGTGGCCTTTTTTGCAAATATTCAATGTTTATCTTTGGTCAAATATTTGATTCCTACCGGGTTTCTTGTTTTTAAAATTGGGATAAAACAGATTTGTAAAAAACGTGCATAAAGAACAACTTGAACTAACAAATAGTTTTGGCTTCACAATCATTTCAAAAATCTTTGTTGTGGTGTGCATTTCAACTGACATTCCGGGGTCTACATTTTCAACCGAACAATGAGTTTAATTTACGATAGTGCATATTCTATGAAAACACACTGAATACTAATATACTCACCCACTTATATTCCGGACCGGCAATTATTGTGTATAAACATAACCGTATTAGTAGAAAAGATCATTATCTCTCCACAATACTGCTTACATGTATGATTTGGGATAAAGACAAAAACTATTGTGTAACCAAACCAAAGTTCTATTGCATTCAAAAAATATTTATCCAATTTTTACAATGTGTGCCTTCATTGGGTTTATTGGAATTGGTATTTTTGCGCTGAAGGGGTCTTTTGTTCTGATAGCGGACACAGAGTAAGCAGTTGTGCAAATCTAGGAAAAAAGGAACCACATGTGCGAACGGAGTAATCAAATCAGCCAAATGTAAATAATTCCCTCATCTATTTGTTTCTTTATCGTATTGCAGCGATCACTTTAGGTAGATTTAAAGATTTGGCATATAAAGCATGCTTGATCTATGTGATTCATTCACCTTAATTCTAAATAGCATTTTCACTAACGCAGCTCCATGTGCTACGGTTGCAACGGACGAGCTCAAGAAGTGAAACAAATTTGGTGATTGACTGCCGTGTTCTACTTCATCTGTATGTTTTCTAGGCTCTAAACTGATGAAATCCCCTTAATAAATTTCAATACCCATTTCTTACATACAGAATCTATTGCATCACGCAAAACCCTGGCGTCGTGATCTCAAATGAACTTTTGCTCATAAACGAACATCATAGGCACGTCTGTTAAAAATGGAAGGGGACGTTAAGGATCACATTTTTTTAATCGTATCGGATTTCAATGAAAAGCATCTAGTATTTTGTAGTTACTGAAAAGGAAGTTTTTGTTAATCCAAGGAATGAGTAATTCGTGGTGGTTTTCATTGTCAAAATGTGATTTAGTGGTGCTCAGAATCCGCGGGTAATAAACTTACAGATACAGCTTGTATTGGATTTAATACCCCATACACTGTTCAATAAATGACCGTCCGGCAATGTCCGCATTGTTCTCAAATGGGACAGCAATCCCACAAAGGAATCAGGAAGAAGAAAATTAAATAAGTTATGCGAATAAGAATTGATAAAGCTGGGGCACCATTGTCTCTTTTTGTATAAGACAACCGGGAATCTTGAGGCTTATAAAGCGGTCCAGATAACGGTTCTTTTTCAAAAGATCTACGATCAAGAGTAAGTTTTGTTTTTTGTAGTGCAGAGTTACTTTTTCAATTAGTATTTCACCTGTTTATAAATATGCTCGCATTTTACACATCAGTTTCATTAATTAATTAACGAAAACAATTCGTTCAGTCGAGAAATGTTGGTATCTTCCGTCACCCTCTAGATAAAATGTGCAAAATGATAGTCACGCTCATTCCGGCGTGCCTCTATCCGAAATTTAAACTGTTCTGTTCAAAGTAATAATACAGAAGTTCGATCTATGTATGAATACGGAAACCCAAGTAATAGGCATGCAAACAAATTGAACCAGATATTTGACATCGAAGATGGGGAACTACAATATAAAATTTTATCCACACCAAATATATTTGAAGGTGACACATTTAATTCTCTATCATTCTAAGTGCATTTTTACTGTTCCTCATATCGGATGAACAACTAAGCATTTGCCCAAGAGAACATCTGAATATTACCTGCCCTATCCTCAAAAATGAACTCTGAGGAGCTTGAACGCCTAACTTATGGCATATTTGGTTGACATTGGGCAAAGTTTAGACTCAGAAACAACAACTACACGTTTGTACACACAGCCAAAGAACCACACCAAAGAACTATGTAAGAAGAATCCGACAACTGCGAATCCACAACAGTTAAGATTATTTAGGCTGGTTTGTGGAATTAACTGGTTCAATCATTGCTCTTAGCAGGGCCCTAAGCGATTATTGCAGATTTCTGTGTGACAGCTTTACCCAGGAAACACATTTGATTTTTGGTTTTCTATATGACCCCATAGCTTGCTGTTTAACTATAATTGTGTATACGCACAAACTCATTCAACTCCAGACCTATAGCTATGATTCAAGAAAGAGAGAATCTCGAATAGGTATCAATATTCTTCCAGTTAGTTGGAAACCTAAAAAATAATTCTGAATCGTCAGTGATAATATTCTAAAAATAGATACCATTTTTATGTAAATAAGCCATCTACCAGTTAAAAAACGTGTCACATTGAGTGCTTTTAGTCATCTACCTTTTAGTGCATGACCTTGTTGCTGTCATCAAATCCGTTCTAATCACACAGTATATTTCGTCAACTATACAATATTATTTGCTTAATTATTTACTAAATATGCTTCCAACCCAGCAAAATTACTCATATTTATCACACTTCATTATTCTGTCTTTGTACACCATCGTCACGGACATCTTTAAAATTATTCTTTGTAAACTCGCAAAGTAAGTAAGCCTAATTACTGCATTAATGGATCATTTTTCTTATCACATTTTCAGATATATTTTCCGAGTAGTTTCGTAGAAAGTGTTTACTCCTGACATTTCACGCATGAATACATTGGACGAGGAAATATGCTACACACCCATGAACAAATATGAAATAATGAGATAAACTCAGATTCATCAAGACTGTGAGTGCAGTGCATATGGTTGAGTGTATTTGTGGAAGAAAAATAGACGGTGCTTTTTCAAAACGGATGTGTTGGTTACTGAAAAACAATTCATATTTCTACTACTGTTGCCCAGTTTCATCACCAAATTTCTTTCGGTCAGAAACTAACAAGATTCGACAATCGATAGGATAGACATTTCAGTAATTTGATCAATTCAAGCTCAGTCGCCATGTACGTACATTTCGTACTTTGAGGTGTATATATTTAAAAAAACATTTTCATGTGACAAATTGTTACACATTAGGTAGATCTGATGACGTTATGCGTGTCTGTATCGTTTGCATTCACGGCGGCGAAACAACAACAACATTGATGCATTATAAAGGTTTAGGAACACAATATTAATCACTTAGTTTAACTGTTGGGTCAGCTTTTGCCTTCGTCCATCGGGCGAACTCCGCTGTGCCGTACGTTTTAGTAATTTTACCGTTTGTGAACAAACTCACGAGGAACACTTCTTTCACACGGGTTGTATTCAATAAATGGTTTCGGCAAGTCGCAAATGCTCTGCGATGCTAGAAAGAACTTGGATTTATCTAAATATGACACGAGTGATGCCCTGCAAACACTTGTATCATAGATGGGCAATCATTTCAATGAGTGTTTTGAGTTTAGTGCCTAAGAAAAGAATACTTCAGAGAGTAATAAATGCTGGGAATACTATTTGCTTTCACCTTACTCCGATACCCGACATGTGATTATTCAATTGCAAGATGCATCTTTGAAAGTCTCTTTAATAAAAACGTCTAATTATAGTTATAAACTACTTTACGATGCAGCACATTATCTTTGAGAAATATGTGTGTTGTAAGTACATTGTTACAATGACCTTTCGGGTGGAATTGCTGTTAGTTTACATCACATTGTGTGGGATATTGAATTGCTGCTTGTGTATGTTTCGTATCTATCCCATTTTCCATAAAAGAAAAGGGTTGGTTTTCTGTTGGTGGAAGCAGGTTTTGTAACGATATAAACTTGGGAACGACGATACAAGTTAACGGACGAGAAAATGTGTATATTTTAGAACAAACCTTCCTGAACGAATTTCGAAACTGCCTTTCTTTGAAAATTCTGTACTCAATTCATTAAATATTGAAAAACCTTTGTGGTACAGAAGAAGATAAATCAACATGCTTGCAACTTTAGTTTCTCTTGAAATCGGCTTGTTTTATTCCTATGAGAATCTGTAAACAAACCATTACACTCGGAGACATTTCAGTTCTATTACCGAGAAACCTCTTCAGATATTTATCAAACCACTTTCGTATTTAACGTCAGGAGAAATGCTCACATCGTAATGTGAACCGTAATTGTATGACAGGAACAATCCATAAGCGCCAGAACAAAAAATGAATAGAACAGTGTGGTCACTAGCGTCAACATGGAAAATTGGTATTTGATTTCTCGAATGCAGAAAACAAAACCTTAAGTCTATCACGAAGGATTTCTGCTTGATATAGTGCAGTACTGTCAGTGAATAAGGGAGGTATCATGTATAAGGTCGGTTGCGACACTCTAACATTAATGGTATCAATCGCAGTTTAAATTAATACTTAGTTTTATTGTTGGAAAGGTTTTTCAATCACTCAAACTGTTGATTTACGTTGGAATTAGATTTATTTTGATCCGGCTCGAGAATTTCCAGAAATGATTACGTACATCAATGAACGAATATTGAGCACAAAACGTATTGAGGACGCCAATGCTGCCTTTATTTATAAGGTCAAAAAATTCCTTTTTATAAAGAACTGATGTTTCAATCATGCGACCTTTTTAATTGATTGCATTCGGATACATTCACCGTTTAAAGTTGAGTGGGAATATGTGTTTTGTTTTATACATTCAATAATAGTGAAAATGATAACACTACTGATTAAAAAAGATGACACTAAATTCATCCTCCTTCTTTGTTCTTATTCATTGAATGAATGCACATTGATATACTTCATTTTCACACAAAAGACTGCGGTAGCTCAGAGGCTGCCAGGGGAAATAAATAGACAAAAATTGTCCTCTTTGGTGGTAGGATGTAATAAAGAACAATAATCCTTCTGATAATTTAACGAAATACCCCCTCGCAAAAGGGACTTTTCATGCAATTTTGAGAGAGAACCCTAAACAATTCAGATGGATCAGATTTTCATTCAGACTAAACTGTGTTGCACAGAGGTCGCACTAGTACATAAGTGAAATCAAGTGCTTTTGGAGAAAATCGTGTGGCCGGTTAAATTAAACATAAATAGTTTATTCAGGACAGCAGGAGTGAAAAGAATTCCTGTGAATGATGTCAAAACTATACACCTTGAGGCCAAGACACAAATTGAATTATTCCACATCCCCGTTATTTGTACATACCTTATTTGGAGGTCCAGTAAGGGTTATGAACGATGCCAAGAAGAAATATATGAATTTTCAAGGTGCACAAGCAGCTGAGCTGGTAACCCATATTCTGCTATACATCACCCACCACAATTGTTAGGTCAGTGTGGTGAACTGGATAGCGATTGTGATTATCTATACATGTGGCGGATTATGAAAATCATTCCCCGCTAAACCGACGTAACATTGAAAAAATGCGTTTGGAAACCGTTCTCCAAATACCTTGAAGAGTGTGAACAACAAATAACCTACGTGTCCTAATTCACATAGTCTGGCTGAGAAACCATCTTAGGGGATTTTACTTCATTTGTATATCCATGGGTTTCTTGCAATTTTCTGTGTGAATTTCATAAGTTGACGGATTACGGACTTTAAATCAAGAGTTGAATAAACTCACCTGAAATCTATCCAAAGCAATAGCAGTAATACTGATTGTAGACACAAATATATTGGTTCCTTGAAACATGGCCAGAAGTTTACACATAAGACTCCCCAAAATCCACGGTTTGTGTGTGGCCCAAATTTGAAACAAATTAAACGGCTCCGTGAACAAACACAATGTCAAATCGGAGATGGCCAAATTCATAATGAACATATTACTCCTCGAACGCATTGCTGATTTCCGTGCAATCACTAGGATGACCAAAGCGCTACCTAGGGTTCCAAACAGAATCATGATAGTAAAGGCCATTAGGATCCCAATCAGCAAAGGTAAAGGAAGTTCAGGTTCATTTCGCGCGGCAGCGTATTCCTCCTGGAATACTTGAATTAGTTCCTTTTGCAATAATTGACTGACATTGGTGCATTTTTCGAGCAAATTTTTGATTCCCGAATAGTGAATCAGCGATAAATCACAATCATTTGCAACACTTGTCTCGAACGTATCAAAACCGGTGTTGCTTGCTTTTAGGGAAGTCACATACATGGTGATAACAAAGCTTCATTTCAGGATGTGAAGATGTATTTGCAATCTGCATTCTTTTAACTAAAAAGTACTCGAATATGATTGGTCGAAAATCGTCACATTTTAAGTGGATGGGGAACGGGTCTTATTCCATTGGTTCTAATATTTTAGTAATGAACTAGACTTGCGGGATACTTGGAAAACGTCATTGATTCCGGAGGCTGAGAAAGAGCAAAGTTGTGTTCAGTTTAAACAGAAATACTGCTTTCACCACAAACGATACAGGTGGTTGTACCTATATTTCTCTCGTTTTGGCTTAAACACCAGTGCGTTCGAAGCATTATTGTCTCAAATATAAGAGAATGTTCACACAAATCATGAGGTGATGCCTGCACGTTAATGCGGTCGGTTGGAATTGATTATAAGATCTTTCTTATACATATAGACAGATATTTGGCTGTTCGTTGTTAGATGTATATTCAAATAGTGGCATTGCTAATAAGGAAAGATAGATCCTTGTCTTGTGTAAACAATCCTCATGATTTTGTGATCGTTTACGTTTCTGATACTGTGACCATCGCTGCCTGTTGATGATTTTCAATAACCTATCATATAAGGGTATTTCAAAACGCCTTTTACTTATGGCGCTCACAGTAGGTACTTTGAATGTCATAGATTATTAATAATGAAACTTTGAATAACATATCACAAATGTTCTACTTAAAAGGTTTTTCAGTATTTTGTCATCAATTATCAATCCTTTGTGAACTTTCAATCGTGCATAATGCCATTTTTCCGCATATTCACAAACAAAACCTTTCTGCTTGATACTGAAGTCTCATGTTTCAATTCCACCTGGAACACACTAAAGTCAATCACTTTATCGTTACATGAACGTTCACTGCCAACGTTTGACTTAACAGCGCTAACGAGATTGTTCTGCACGTTAGTATGCGGAATTGGCTTTATGCTGAAGTTTCCAATTCTGTGATGAATGCAGGGACATTTGAATGCAAATCAGTAGTATCTTAACGTATATCTAGTTACGTAGGTGTGGCTTAATCCTATCACACGATCGGACTAAATATCTAGCTAGCGAATTGTCCTTATATTCTTCAATGTGAAACCTGTTTTGACCTCGAAAGCACTTCTAACACATGATGTCTCAAAACATTTTAGTTATTTGTTTTGAGATTCAACTTTTCCGACGGATTTTAGCTCAATATTTTGCTTAGCAGCCTACAGAATCAATAAAAACATCAATTTCTTATAGTCATCAAGTAGAGTGAAACCTCTTTCCCTAAGGGAAATCGGTAAGTAGCGTACCGCTTAAATCGACAAAACAAAGGTGAATGGTCATGCTGAAAAATATGTTTGTCAGGATTTCAAACGGTGACCGATGATACAATGATATATTAAAAATGTATAGTTATATGGTGCAATTTGGACAATCTACTTTTTATCCAAGTATAATTAGATCTATCACAATTCTTTCTAAAAAAACTTTCTCTATATCCGTTATGTACCATCTAGTCTGTGGATGCAGTACTAAGAGGCTGCAGCAAGCCATCAGAAAATGACGCTATCTGAGTCACGGTTTGGATCACTCTTCTGGCAAGTGGTTATCCACGGAGGTTAAATGCCATAGAAACATGGGACCGTTCAAGGTCCTAGAGATTCTATCACGAAAAGTAATCAAGATAATTAACAGTTTCTGCACAATTTTACATTTATTCACGGTATCCTTTGCTTTTCGAATATATTGGTAAAATGGAGTGGCGTCTTATTTTTTTCACACGCGCCCCATGAACAGCTGCGTACAATTTCTCGGCAAGGTTACGTTCTGGAATGTATCCATAACATTTCTAAATATGCGTGATTTAACCATATACACAAAATAATTCATGTTGAGATTTATCGATGTTGTTATGAAAGACCATACTGTCACCTTTTGAGTGCCAGTCGCTAGTCCAGGCACGAATGCTCCAAGCACGGAAAATACATTCCTGCCGGTAGGTAAACTGCTCTTAGTCATCCTTCTCCCAGCACGATAACTGTACCTACTATGGTGAGTGGCACTGTTCGTTCTGTGATTTGAAGCTTGCGGATTTATCCTACCTGCTCCAGCGAAAGGAATTTCGCTCCTCGTGTGCCGTGTATCTTCAAGACTCACGACTCAATGACGATGTGAACGACTTCGTGGTCCAACTGGATAATTTCGTCTGCTTCAGACAGGATAGACAACGATTTAGGAAAAAGTTGGGAGGCGATGTAGTTACCTACATCAATTCCAATTGGTGTGGCAAGTCCCATCTCTTGTTGTGACTTAAACCACGACCCCTGCACCTTTTATTCTGTCTAAACCTCAGTGACCCGAATATTGAACCAACTAGAGGAACACCTCATGTAGACCACATAATCACAAATCACGCGGATTTATTCTCTAACAAACATTTCTTCTCCTTGGGCACCAGCAAGCACAGCCTGATCCTGGTCAGACCTAAGATTTACTCACATTTAGGACAACGTTTACTTGACCCAAACGCATCATGTTCCATCAGCGAGATCTTTCTCCAGACAATATTGTTTTTACTTAGAGAGTCTCTTAAGGTACTTCGTGATTGTTTTCCTTTTATCACAACCTGCTTGTCCAATAGAACATTTCTAACAGTGAAAAACCGTGTTTTTGACATATGCTGTCCTGTGATAACTTTTTTTCTTCAATATGGCAGAATATCAACACATTATTTTAGACATCTTCGCCGCGCAAAGGAACGTGCATTTAAATCTGGCAGAAGGACCGAAATGCAACCAATATCGTTTCTGATCAAGAGTGAAATAAGACGGTTGGATGCCCTTCATGTAAGTCAGTTTTGAGACAAGGAATTGTAAATCCATGCGGAGTGGAAAACATCTACTCTGCAGGCAGAAGAAAGTGATATTCAGTCCCTCTATTGATATTGAAAAACGGAACGCTGCATTTATTCTTTGTTTATCCGACACATCCCAGGTATATTGACTCCAGTTCTCCGAACATCCAACCTTCGTTTGATCCCATCGCCTCTAGGAAGATGCATAAACAGTTGTTCCCTCAAGGTTTCAACCGCACCTGGTTCAGACAACTTAAGACTTACCTATCTTAAACGCGGAGCTTTGCAACCGTCTCATATTTTTGCACACATAGACAATCCTTCACTCGAACCAGCTTCTCTCACTTCCACTGGTTTGGAATTGATAGTTTGATCGGTTCTGCATCGCCTTCAGTTATCCCTTACTACCCCTGATGATACTTATCACTTTGCATACAAACATAATCGCTTAACATTGTATGCCATTTAAACTCATTCCATCTGTAAATCCCTTAAGGTGGATTCCAAATATGTGCATTGTGCACGTCTTACTTTTGTTCATCTTTTGACTCGGTACACTGTTGTCTTTTATTTGACAAGCTCCAATCGTTTGGCTATCCCATTTCTCTTCTTCAATGGCGTACTGAATACTTTGAGCAAAGATATCAGTATGTTAAATTGGGAGACAGTTAACCGTATCACTCAACAGTTCGGGTGTACTTCAAGGTACCGTCCTATCACTCCATTTTCTCGACTTATATCAGTGACTTACCTATTACTTCCCCAGAACGACATTGTAACTATGCTGATGATATCACCGTTTCTTTTTCCGTAATCTAACCAATCGGAATTGATTCAATATAACAAAACCTATTCCACATCCTTTCATATTCCACTTTATCCGGTCTTAATCCTAACCTCCAAAAATTAATTGAATGTATTTTTACTCTAAACAAATCCTTATCCCCCTCCGACAATATACAGATTCATGAAAAGCGGTCAGTCATGTGAAGTATTTAGGTATCACACTTGAAGGTAACCTTCGCTGGTCCTTACATACACAAACTGTTACCAGCAAGTTCAAAGTTCTCTCTTTTCAGATAAGAAGAATGCGCCAATGTTGTTCTGATTTGTCAGTGATAGACGCATTTTTTAAACAATGTGTTCTCCCTGTACATCTTTACTGCTCCCTGTAATTTCCCCTGGTTTGCTGAAGGCTGATTTCAAGTTGCTGAGTTGTGGCCTTTCAACGTTTGGCCGTGTCTCCCAAATCCTGTTATCTGTTCTGATTGTCAATATGTGTAATGCCCATATTGATGCGTGCGTAACGTTTGTTGAAAATATCCTATCTGCTTGCACTAATCCACCCATTCTAGGTATAAACGTATCCCGTCTGGCATGCATCTGCATACAGAAATTATCTGGTGCCCTATCCTGCCCGGATACTGACCGACAAGGAAGCTGTTCATTAACAGCTTTCTAATGCACTTAGTAACATTTCTTTTACGTATTAAGTTACACTTTTTCACCTCTTTCTTTTTACCGGAATTGTAATGATGGTCTTTTTTGGCTGAAAGATTGTATATAACTGGCTAAAGGCTCAATACAATACAATACAGTTATTAGAAGCACAGAGATTGATGACCGGTATAAGGTAGGTCACATGATAACTCAAAGAAAATGTCTCAATATGTCTATGAGTCATCACGAAAACAGCAATTAAATGAAATACAAGAAGCACTGGGAATTCGTGATGCAAAATTTGGCGTGCAGACCAAAAATAAGGACTAAAACTGTTTCATCGGGCTTGACATTCTAGAGTACGAAAATACCTTTTTTATTAAAACGATAAATAATGACAATATTATCATTTTAGTAATTGAGTGTGCAAATATATGACTAATGTGTAGAATAGGATCCGCGTCCAATGAAGAATTAACTGGAGAAATAATGACGGTTCACGGGTATGAAAGGATTCGAAATTTTGGTGTATTGTTCGTTGAAAAATCCATTTCACAATACATCTTGGTTCCCCTCGGATTGCAAACCTCAAATGCTCCAGTTGTAAGCTGAACCATTTACTCTTAATTCACCTTACCTTTATCGTGTATGAACGTGAATAATTTATCAAAAATGATATCATTATTTCATGTATATGACGCCTGTGAAAAT